GCAGGTCAAATAGACCCTGACTTTTGTGTGAAAAATGACCAAATTTGTATTCTATAGCGTATATATTTACACCTGAAGGACATAGACCCGAGAAGTTAATAATATATCCAAGAGGAGTGGTTGACCTTTAAATTAATACCAATTATATTGTTGTATGTGCTCGGATGTGGGAGTTACACCTAAATATTTACAGGTATCTCCGTATTCGTATATTTTTTATTAACCCATTATCACTCTGATCGCTTTGAAATGTTCCATGAGGTTCCAGTTATGGTCAAGGACAACGCCTATAATTCGGTGATGATCAGATAATAATTTTGGAATGAAGTGGACCGAAAACATAAATTTGTGTGTTATTTTCGAGTCGATCTATAGACCCTAAATGAAAGCCGAACATCACAACACAACCCACGGTGAAGAGAATCTGGACAATAGCTGTACTGAATACTCGTAATATTCGGAAAATATGTCATTGTGATGAAGATGTGCTGCTTACCTCTAATCGGGCAAGAGGGTGCAAATGTCACGAAATATTGCCCAGGCTCGGAATACACATCCGCAGAAAATTTGAATTCCGTGGTAGTTGTGCAGGGTATCGTATGGTCGGCTCCGTCCGACTATACTGCTCCGCTCACTGTTTTAAAAATATTTTAGGCAGCATTTTTAAAGACCAGCTATAGGCGAGATTTTTTTAATATTTTTTGAGGACTAGCAATTGGTGTGGAGCTTCTTAAAAATAGTTTAAGGAGCATTTTTAAATACCATCTAAAGGCTATATTTTTTTAAATATTTTTTGAGGATTAGGAATAGTTTTAAGGATCAAGGACAGGCCATGGTTGTGGATTTGTTTTTTAAATATTTTTAATGATCAGCCATAGGGCGTAGAATGATCAACAACTAAGGATTTCTTAAAGATTATTTTAAGGGTCTGAATTTGTTAAAAATAGTTTTTTTTAAGTCCACGTGATTTTTATACAAATATTTTTTTTTAAGAATGCGGAGATTTTTTTTATTTTATTTTTTGAATCCTGGTTTTTAATTTTTGTCGACTTTTCATTCACGACAATTATGACACACTTCAGTTTAAAAAAAAACACAATCTTATAAACCGTTACTACTTCCTGCATTCTTCCCTTTATCCTTTTTTCCAATATCCCACTAAAAATTCTCTCCACTTTTTGTATGAACAAGTCTATGTCAAACACTTGAAAAATCTCTTATTTATGCTGTCACATTTTTGTCATGTTTCGTGTTTCTCTTTTTTCCTGTTGTTATTGTTGCTGCTGTCTGTCTCTGTGTTTTTTGGTGATTTTTCATTTAGGTAATGGATGATGCTGGGAAAGTCAAATAATTGAATTCGGTGCCATCAACATAACTGGCTTCCGGTTTGGACGATACAAATCGCCGTTTGGTCAAGGATTTCTATGATAGCTGGAAACGATTCAATGCGGCAAGTGCCAACGGAGACGGCAGAGATCAATATCGGTAAGTTTCTAATTGACAATTGATAGATTTCGAGGAATTGAATCTAAGTTATTGTTGTTGCCAATGTGAACAAAGCCAACAAATGTCAAAAATATTTTTGGGGTGATGAGGACGACAAGTATCCTTGTCAGCGTAAAGTAGGATGAACAACAAGAGCCACATCATCATCATCAACAGAATACAATAAAAAAAACAACAACAATGTTGATAATCATGTTTATGGTGATTGGCACGGTCGTCCTTTCTTTAGCTGGGATTTTTTGTTATGACATGAAATGGATATTAGATTGTTTACAAAAATAACTCATTAAATATTTACATAACACCCAGTAGCTTTTTGTTGCGTGCCTTTGTCGTCTCCCTTCACCCCTTTTTCCCTGCGCACAGCTAATGGCCGCTATTGGCGTATAATCATCATTAAACATGCTTGTTCAAGCGAATATTGTATTAACGTTTTTATTTTGTTTACTCTAGGCCCAGGCAGCCCTTATGTACGATGCGGTGTTTGTTTTGGTGGAGGCCTTTAATAAAATCTTACGCAAAAAACCCGATCAATTTCGAAACAATATCCGTCGCGGCCAGACAGTTATGACGGCAGCTTCCACATCTGCTAATGCTTCAGGCTTGTCAAATTCTGGCGGTCTTATGGCTGGCTCACAGAATGGTGGAGGTGGCGGTGGTATGGGCAGCGGAGGTGGTGGTAGCGGCAGTGCTTCACGTCCATTGGACTGTAACACTGGCAAGGGTTGGGTTACCCCCTGGGAGCATGGTGATAAAATTTCACGCTATTTGAGAAAGGTAAGTAAGAGCAAAAACAACAACAACACCAATAATGCTGTGTGAGTGTGAACACACCTGAAGGGGTAGATTGTTGAACTGGAGTGGTGGAGAGGAAAAACCCAACCGGTGGACAATTTTTCTATGAATAATTTTACGAACATTATGTAAATGAGAAAACTCCACTTTACATCAGCAGAAGCGAAACATGGAGTGGAATTTAATAGCTCGCAGTGTCTTTCAAAATTATTAAAAATGCTATAAAATAGAAGTGTAGAATTCATGCAATATATTTTTTCGAGGTCCTCCGACGGTGGTGTATTTTTTAAAAATATTTTTTCAAGGTCCTTCAATTGAAGTACCTTTTAAAGTACTTTGAAAAAATATATTTAAAATATCCACGCCGATTGGAGGACCTTGAACAAATATTTTTGAAACACCCACGCATATTGGAGAACATAGAAGGCCTTTGAAAAAATATTTTTGAAAAACCCACGCCTATTGGAGAACCTAGAAGGCCTTTGAAAAAAATATTTTTGAAAAACCCACGCCTATTGGAGAACCTAGAAGGCCTTTGAAAAAATATTTTTTGAAAAACCCACGCCTACTGGAGAACCTAGAAGGGTTTTGAATTTATTTTTTGAAAAAAATATTTTTGAAAAACCCAAGCCTATTGGAGGACCTAGAAGGCCTTTGAAATTTTTTTTGAAAAACCCACGCCTACTGCAAAACCTAGATGGCCTTTGAATTTTTTTTTTTTTTTTTTTGAAAAATCCACGCCTATTGGAGAACCTAGAAGGCCTTTGAAAACTTTTTTTTCAAAAACCCACGCCTACTAGAGAACCTAGAAGGCCTTTGAATTTTTTTTTAACCCACGCCTATTGGATAACCTAGAAGGCCTTTGAAAACCCGCGCCTATTAGTGAACCTTTCCATCGGTGTAGTTTTCTTTGAAAAATCATCTTATGTACAACTCTCACATTTTTACATTTAAAGTTTTCCTTTCAAGAATATCCCTTAAAAAATGATTTCAAACCAATCACACCAAAAAGAAACGTGCCAAGAAAATATAAGTAGAGAATAAAACAATCGCCTGTATAAGACAGCTATTTTAAATATCCATGGCATAATTATGTCTCACAGGACTCGATGAAATGAAATTGTCTGGAAGGCTCAATAAAAATTAATTGATGTGTCATTTACCGTTTACTTAATTCCCAGTATGTTTTTTTTTGTCCTCGGTATCCTTTCATTTCATGCAGCTTCCTGAATGTCCTGTGTGAAAGCTATCACACCGACATATTATAACAACTCCCACATATATAAATATACCACCCAGTACTCACTCACAGCTTAAGGAGTCAAGCCATGGATGTGGTGGTTTTTGTTCGTTAGTCTTCTCTTGTCGGTATAGCTTCCAATCAATTTGCTGCTTCTGCTTCATTACAGGTGGAAATTGAAGGTCTGACCGGTGACATAAAATTCAACGATGATGGACGACGTGTTAACTATACCCTGCATGTCGTCGAAATGACCGTTAACAGTGCCATGGTCAAGGTGGCCGAATGGAGTGATGAGGCTGGCCTCCAACCACTGTCGGCGAAATATGTACGCCTGAAGCCCCATGCCGAAATAGAGAAAAATCGTACTTACATTGTGACGACAGTACTGGAAGAGCCCTACATAATGGAGAAGCGACCCATTGGTGGTGAGACCTTGGTGGGCAATGATCGCTTTGAAGGCTATTGTAAAGACTTGGCTGATTTGTTGGCCAAAAGGCTTGGCATTAATTGTAAGTACAAAGCATTTAATTTATAATAAGTATATCGTACCCCATGACTCCCAGTGAGGGTAATGGCCAGGGTGTTGAGCTGGCACGTGACACGTGTGGTCACGTGGTCGCCCATTCCTAGGTAGTGTTTTTGCTGTTAATGGTATTTAATTTAAACATCCATCATTAACACTTGTTTCTACGAATTCTTTTTCATACGGATTTTCATACATCATCCTGGTCGTCATCATTTCCCTGTTGTTGCTGTTCCTGCAGATGAAATGCGTTTGGTTAAGGATAATTTATATGGTTCAGAAAATCCCAAAATCCAAGGTGGTTGGGATGGCATGGTGGGCGAACTGGTGCGAAGGGTAAGTGTGCTTTTATTTATTTTTACACTTTTTTGTAGCGAAACAATTTTTTTGTTTCGTTTTTATTTTTTGTATTAAAACATTACAGTTTTTCACACATTTACCTGTCCTTTTTTCCCTCTATTTTTGTTCGTCTGTGTGTATTTATAACAGGAAGCGGATATTGCCATCGCTGCCATGACAATTACTGCCGAACGTGAACGTGTCATTGATTTCAGCAAACCATTTATGTCGCTGGGCATCTCAATTATGATTAAAAAACCAGTCAAACAAACACCGGGCGTATTCAGTTTTATGAATCCTTTGTCGCAGGAAATCTGGGTGAGTTGGCAGTTCATTTTAGTTTTTTTTAAGCGTTTTGTTTTCAAGTAGAGTTTTTTATTTAAGGGATAAAATAAAATATATTCCAATAATTTATTTTTTCTTTTTTCATTTTTCGATAACACTCATGAGAATTTTATATCAATAGCAATTAATATTGCAAAATATTTGCCATTAATTAAAAACGGATTTTAATAATTAGAAAATATTAGTTGGAAAATGTTATTAATTAGGGTAAGGACTAAAAAAATATTTGTTTTTGAGAGCAATAGTAACAAAAGTGGAATTTTTACAATAAAATAAACAAAAATTATAGTAGGATTTTCTAGAAGATAAAACGGTTGAATTGATTTTAGACTAAAAAAGAACGAGTAAATTTAATTAAACTATAAAAAAGATGTCAGCCGGTGCTGCCAACAGATTTATACTCTCAGTCTGTGACATATCTGGCATACACTATATAACCGATAATTACACAAAATTTAGGGTTATATAAATATTAAGGCAAGTAATCCCACCGGATTGGTCATTCCTTTATATGATGTATGTACCTTATCCTCAGAACCACATAAAGGTATTGATAAACATATTTTGATTTGCAATAAATGGTTCAAATCTGATGGTGCCAGATAGCTTCCATCTTCCACCTTATATATGTTTGCTAAAGATATTTTCTGATATTTATTATCCCTTTCACCACACTTGGTACAGGGTATTATGTCTTTGTGTATATGTTTGTAACAGGCAAAAGGAAATGAGATAGATACATGGTTCTTTTGAGGATATGCATATAATCACATTCTGAGTCCGTCCGACCGTCTGTCCATCTATAGATGTTAAATTGTAAATAAACGACCTGTACGCATTTATGATCCGATTTGGATGATATTTGGCACAGGTCACTTATTTGGTCCAAGAACAACCCTATTGAAATTGGGAAAAATCGGTTCAGATTTATATATATATATATATATATATATATATTTATTTTCGTTTTCGATTTTATGTAAACGGCCCCTATATATCGATATGCACGAAATTAGGCACCGTGTACTGAATTGAGCCTAGAACGATGTGCGTCAAGTTTCGCGAAAATCGGGTCAGATTTAGAGATAGCTTCCATATATATTTTCGTCCGATGTAAGATAAATGGGGCACCAAAGTCCCACATATCTTTCGATTTGCACGAAACTTGGCTTAGGGTACTGAATTAAGCGCAAAATGATATATGATAAGTTTCGAGAAAATGGGTTCAGATTTAGATATAGCTCCCATATAAAGTTTGGTCCGATTTTATGTAAATGGTGCACCAGTGTCCCTATATATTTTTCGATATGCACGAAATTATGCATAGTGTACTCAATTGCGTCTAGAATGACGTGTGCCAAATTTCGAGAAAATCGGGTCAGATTTAGATATAGCTCCCATATATATTTTCGTTCGATGTAAGGTAAATGGGCCACCAAAGTCCCCACATATCTTTCTATTCGCACGAAATTTAGCATAGGGTACTGAGTTAGGCGCAAAATGATATGTAATAAGTTCCGAGAAAATCAGTTCAGATTTAGATATAGCTCTCATATAAAGTGTTTTCCGATTTGATGTAAATAGTGCACCAAAGTATCTATATCTGTTTCGATATGCACGAAATTTTGCATGGTGTACTCAAGTGAGTCTAGAATGACGTGTGCCAAATTTCGAGAAAATCGGGTCAGATTTATATATACCACCCATATATATTTTCCGATTTAAGGGGACCCTCCCCCCCATTCTCGGTGTCAATTTTTTTTTTTTTTTTTTTTAATTAATTCGAATCTACTCTAATTCTAGAATGTCCCTACAAAATTTCAAGTGAAAATCTCAATAACTCAGCATCAAGTGACGGCAAGGGTGAAGGGTGGAGCATTGTGGCGGGCACGATAACTCAAAAAATAACAATCCAATCGGTTCCAAATTTTGATACGTTTCTCTGGGAGTGTATAGCTCTCGTATGAACTAGGATAAAGCTAATCAGTGAAGATCTTCCTTATTTTTTTACTTAGTTTGTTATAAAAAATATGCGATTTTCCAAAAAAAAAAAAGAATTCAAAGTTCCGCCATTTTGTTAATTGTTGTGCAAAGTCAATAATCCCAGTTCATACGAGAGTCAGACATGTACTCTTTCTAGCACCGTTGGAATTTTCGGATTCCGATGTTCCACTGAGGAGTTATCATGCCCGCCATCAAAAATAAGAACTTTTCTTTGATCACAAAAAACAACAGCAAACATTTTTTGTAAAATATTTTTCTTCGTTTTTAAATCTTCAAATATATATTTGCAAAGTTCATGTTGTTGTTCTGCATGTTCATGGGTCTTTTCGTGCCTTTGAAATGGAAATCTGTCCTTACCATAGCACGTGTTATAACTTTCGAAAAAATCGGGTTAAATTTAGATTTAAGATCGTTCAATTGCATGTCAATGTTCCATCGAAAATGCGACGTCTTTTAGGATACATATGTAGAATATACCCAAAGTAAGAAGTGTATCATATAGTCGGCCCAGTCCGACTTTACGAGTTTCCTTGCTGGTTTACATGTTGTCAAAATGTTAACACTTCATGTTAGATGTACTAGAAGGAGTGAACATTAATTCTTAAAGGATAGTAAGTGATGCCCTTTTTTGCAAAATCATTTTTATGCTTCACAAAAACTAAACAAATTCCACATACTTCAAATAGCAAACAAAACTATTCCCCCGTTTTTTTTATTCGGCTAATTTACAAATCGTAGACCTTGACTCAACAGAATCTTTAAAAATCTTACCAACTTTTATGTAATGTAAAATAAATGGAGGGTTTCCATGACGCACTTGTCTACTATTCCGCTTTTCTTTTTCATGTCTGTCCCCATTTTTATATGATTACAGAAAAAACAACAAAATTCTTTCCAGACATATATCAGCAGCTAGAATTTTGTTTTGTTATCAAAATTACACTCTCACTCCCCTGGTGACTATTAAACGTTTTAAAGATATTTTTTCTTCTTTGCTTTTTTGCCAATTACCTAACGTAATAATGAAATGGTGGGGTGGTTCTCAAATATTTTTTTTTATTCAATTTGAATTTTGTTAGTTATTCTTTTGTGGAAATACAACAACAACGAAATCATTGTTGTAGAATTTACTCATAAAATGAAATGGAATCTTGGCCTAAAAAAGCATGCGATTAATTGCGTAGAGGGGGTGGTGTTGGTTTATGAAGAAATTCCCAAACATGGTAAAATATCGAATGAATCAAGTAATCGTCCTCGTCCATCGTAGATTTCGTCTTCCTTTTCGGTTTTGCTGGGTATTAATGGCAACCATTTCGACGTTTTCTTACGGTTGGCTCTCGCTTTAAATTGTTGTTAATTCTTGGAAGCAAAAGTTGAGCAAAAGCAGCAACAACAACTTCTGTACTGTTTACTATATTGAAGTTTATAAGCTCTCCACTGTTTTTTTTTTTTTTTTTTGAACCAATATTATTTTTTCTGTTTTGTGTTTCTTTGTCGTCTTACTTTCGCAGCTTGGCAACAACAAGAATAAAACATTGCCCACAAAAGAGTATAAAAGTTCATGCGTTCTGCGTCCGGCAATACGCCAACAAGAACAGCAACAACCACTGAAAAGCGCAAACATAAACTTTATTGAAGTAAATTGTAAAGTTTTCTCATTTGTATTCCAATGCGGATTGTTGCAACATTGCGAACAACAGCTGTATGATGTTGTAGTTGCAACAACAGTCTCTAAAGTAAATACAGCGTCAAGAGAATACTGATCTATACTTCAATAAGTGGTATTTAGAAATTGCTTGCACCATAAGTAATACGAAATTTAGTTTTTATTAAGTTTTTATTTTGAATGCAATATTCGTGTATTTGTAAATATTATTTTAAAGACCCACATGACGTGAAGTTTCATGGAGTATTTTTTCAAGGTCCAATACATGGCGTGCTTTTTTTTTAAAAGAATATTTTTCCAAGACCAATACAAGCCGTGCATCTTTTAAAGTATATTTTTTCTAGGACCACTGCAAAGCACGATGGCTTGGATTTTTTAAAGAATATTTTTTATGACCAATACAAGGCGTGGATTTAAAGAATATTTGTTAGAGGCAATTAAGGAGTGGATTTTTTTAACGAATATTTAAAGAACTAATACAAGACGTGGGAATTTTAAGGAAGAATACCGTGTCTAGATTTGTAAACAAATACTTTTCAAATATTTTTTAAGGACCAATACGTAGCGGGATTTAAAAAAAAAATAAGAACATACACAAGGCTAGATTTAAGGACGAACATGAGGCGGAGTTTATTTTAAATATGTTTCAAAGACCAACACATGACGTAGTTTTAAAATATTTGAAGGACCAACATAGGGAAAGTTTTAAGGTCCCTTACAGAACGTAGTCATTATACCCTACACAACTATGTTGTCAGTGTATTATAGCTTTGTGCAGCCCCAAGAGTTAGTAACGCCGCGAAATATTGGTCCTAGATCCACTCAGCTAGTCGTCATATCTTGACTAGCTGAGTCGATCTAGACATGTGTGTCCGTCTGTCCGTCTGTTCATTATAATTTGTAAACACGATACAGGCCACAGTTATGGACCAATCTTTACGAAATTTTGCATGTAGGATGGGTTCTGACCAACGAAGACCCCTATTGATAAAGATCGATTAATATTTAGGGTACGAAATGGACCAAATACTTAATTTTTGTCGGTTTTTCTGGTAGCTCCAGATGCCGCAATTATGGCCCAAACATCTCGAATTTTCACATGAAGAACGGGATAGGGCCATAGAATAGGCGTGCATATTTGGATAAAGATCGGTCAATATTTAGCGGGTCAAATGGACCTTGACTTTTGTGTGAAAATTTTCAAAATTTGTATTCTATAGCGTATATATTTACCCCTGAACAATATAGACCAGAGAAGTCGATACCAGATACCAATTATATTGTCATATGTACTTGGATGTGGGAGTTACACTTAAATATTTATAGTGTCTAGGTATTCATATATTATTTAGTAACCCATTATCACACTAGAGGGCTGAAATATAGCGCTGATAGGTTTGAAATTTTCCATGAAGATCCAGGAATGGCCAAGGACAACGCGTATAATTTTCGGTGATGATCAGATAATAATACTGGGATGAAGTGGGCGGAAAACTTCATTTCTTGTGTTAATTCGAGTCGATCTTTAGGCCACTATTGAAAGCCGAACATCACAACACAACCCACAGTGAAGGGAATCTGACAAGTATTTAGAGGAGCTGTACTGAATATTAGTAATATTTGTTGGCCTCTAGTCGGTCAAGAGGGTGCAAATATCACGAAATATTGCACAAGCTCAGAATATAGAACCACAAAAGTTAGATTTTCGTCGAAGTTGTGTATGGTATCATATGGTCGGCACCGTCCGACTATACTGCCCCGCTTACTGGTTTTAGGTTATTATTGCTCTGATTCCAGCACTATTTTAATATTAAATCTAGTAAAAGGGAAACATTTCAAAATCGCTCTCAGAGTACAAAATAATTTTAAAAGTTCAGGAACGCAGATATGCCAAAATTAGATGGCAATACTTCAAAATCAGCATATCAGGATAAGCATTCCTGTTTACCATTTTTACTCGGCCAAATTTCTCGAGTAAAAAGTTTACAAAGAGAACGTCATTGTGTTTTGTGTTTTCTTAAATGTGATTCAATGTTTGACCAGTTTTATGAGTTCTGGAACAGTTTTCGAGTAAAAAGTTGCAAAACTTGTAAAATTAGTTGATTCTTTTAGGTTCTGGAACGGAACTTATTTCTTTGTGCATATGTTTGTAACAGGCAAAGGGAAACGAGATAGACACATGGTTCCTTTTATAAATATGCATAGAATCACTTTCTAAGTTGATTTATGCATGTCCGTCCGTTTGTCTGTCTGTCTGTCCATGTTAAATTGTAAACAAAGTACAGGTCACATTTATGATTCGAATTGGATGAAATTTGGCACAGCTCATTTATTTGCCCCAAGGAGGAACCCCATTGATTTAGTTCAGATTTACATATAGCTCCCATATTTAATTTCGCCCGATTTAAGGTACATGGTGCACTAAAGTCCCTAAATATCTTTCGATGTGCACGAAATTTGGTACAACGTAGTGAATTAAGCCTAAAATCATATCTGCTAAGTTTCGTAAAAATCGGTTCAGATTTAGATATAGCTCCCATATATATTTTCGTCCGATTTAAGGTAAATGGCGCACTAAAAATCCCAAATATCTTTCGATTTGCACGAAATTTGGCAAAACGTACTGAATTAAGCCTAAAATGTTGTGTGTTTTCGTCCGATTTAAGGTAAATGGTGCACTAAAGATCCTAAATATCTTTCGATTTCCACGAAATTTGGCACAGCGTACTGAATTAAGCCTAAAATGAAGTGTGCTATGTTTCGGTTCAGATTTGGATATAGCTCCCATATATTTTTTCGACCGGTTTAAGGTAAATAGTGCACCAATGTCCCTATACATTTATAATTTACACGAAATTTGGCACAGTGTTCTGAATTAAGCCCAGAATTTTTTTGTGTTAAGTTTCGTAAAAAATCGGTTCAGATTTAGATATAGCTCCCATATACATTTTCGTCCGATTTAAGGTAAATGGTGCACTAAGGATCCTAAATATCTTTCGATTTGCACAAAATTTGGCACAGCGTTCTGAATTAAGCCTAAAATACTGTGTGCTAAGTTTCGTGAAAATCGGTTGAGATTTCGATTTAGCTCCCATATATAATCTCGTCCGATTTAAGGTAAATGGTGCACTAAAGTCCCTAAATATCTTTCGATTTCCACGGAATTTTGGCGCAGTTTACTGAATAAAGCCTAAAAGGATGTGTGCTATGTTTTGGTTCAGGTATAGATATAGCTCCCATATATATATAATAGTGCACCAAAGTCCCTACACATTTATGATTTGCACGAAATTTGGCATAGCGCACTGAATTTAGTCTAGAATGATAGTGATGTTTGTTAAATTTCGTGAAATCGATTCAGATTTTAATATAGTTCCCATATATATTTTCGTCCGATTTAAAATAAATGGTGTTTCATAGTCTCTATATATCCTTCGATTTGCTCGAAATATGGCATACAGAATTATGTCTAGAATGTCGTGTGTTGAATTTCATGAAAATCAGATTCAGATTTTGATATAGCTCCCATATTTTACATATTTAAGTTCGTTCAATTTCATGTAAAATAAAATATGTGAAGGGTATAATATAGTCGGCCCCGTCCGACTTTACAACTTTCCTTACGGGTTTAAAATGGTTTTTCAAATGCTGCGCATTGATATTTGAGAATGATTTTTTTTCTACAAGGACCCTTATAGACACTGAAATGTTGTGTCGATATACCAGGGATTAGAGGTTTAAACACAATAATTTATTAAAGAAAAATAATTAAATTTTAAGCGCTGCTTTTATATATTATTCTACAGGGTCATATTTTTCATTAATGCCACCCTTTCTCATCCATTCATTAAAATTGTTGTTCATTACCACTTAACGTTTAATTTATAACTACAAACATTAATTTCACGTGCTAACTCATTTTCTGTCAACGCCTCACAGGGATTACAACAACGAAAACGTAATTGCGAAAATGTTACTTTTTTATAACAAAATAATTATAAAACGATGTATTAAATTAGAGTTTAAATAAAAATCCATTACACGGCAAGTAGTAATACGTTTGCCCTGTTAACTTTTGCTTTGTATGGGCTTATACCCCAGCAATATAAAAAATATACTCATTATTAAAGCAACAAATCACGGAAACGGATATGAGATAACAACAACAAGATACTCATGAAATACGTAACAACGGGAAGAAGGTCGTTGTCAGCCATCATCCAACAAATTTTGCTGCTGTTTAAATACCTTTCCTTGAAATGAATTTTCATACTAATTAAGGTTTACCAGCAATACGCAGCTGAGTCAAGGAGACATAAC